AAGAAAAAGAATTTTGGTTTGTGAAGATTTACGAATATCAAAATTCAGAACTACTACGAGCGAGAGAGTACTATAGGTGAGAGGTTTCACTTATATTAAAAAAAGTTTAAAAAAAGAAAGAAAATTCAGAACTACTGTTAATTCTTTGAATATCACTGTTGATATGCTACAAAGCCCATCTCTTCAAGGTTCTCAGTATTCCGAGTGGTAAACCCTCTTTGACACACTTGCTAAAGGTCATTGTCCACCTAAGGACAGGTAGAACTATCCTAAAAAATTTTGAAGTAGGAAAGCCAAGAAATTATGCAGATTTCTTTTACAAATTTTATCATATAATATAGTTGGATTTGGTCTTGAAACCATTGGAACTAATCAGTAAGAAATTCTTTTATATGAATGAGAATCACGCAGCCCATATATAGGCAACTTCAATCCTAACTTTAATCCAAAAGCTCTAAACTGCATGATTCATTATTTCTCAATAAAAAATAGAAAAGAAAATAAAGTATGACCATTGCCTCTTCTTTTTTCCTAAATGCATGGAATATTTAAGTGTACTACAAAGCTTATATTAGAGTTGCAAGATAAAGAGAACCTTTTCTTTTTCTTTTTCTTTTATTTTTTTATAATTGCCCAAAAAGACAAATATAATTAAACATCCAATTGGGGATTTACTTCGAGGATTATAACATTCTTAATTTCTTCATAGGTGGTGATTCACCATTAGTAAAGGGTGCTGATAATGTTACAACAGTTCTTTTAATTAATCCCACAACACCACATTCTTTAAAATACAAATTTACCTTTTTCAAAGTCTCCAACATTTGACCATTAGAGGGTATTATTGTCATTTTAAATAAATTTGCTGTAGGAATTAAAAAATAGAAATTTGCAGTAGGAATAAAAGAAAACATAGTGAAAATATTATTTGCCATTGGTCAAGGGAGACTTAAAAAACATTTTAAGGTCATTGGAGACGTCATATTTCATAGCATTTTATTAACTCAAATGAAGTTTTGATTCTCTTAAAATCTTGCTAGCCAGGCCCCATTTTTCAAAGACCCTTATTAGGGTCTTTAAATCTTAGTAGTTGATTTTCATTGAATTGCCCAATTGAGCCTAACTAAAATGTGGGTGACCCATAAAAATTCAAACTCTCTGAAACCACCCAACCCAAATTTTATAACAGAGATAGTATATGTAAGTTTTCATTTTCCATTCATAGAGGTTAATTACCCTTGAGAGCAAGGGTAGGCTCAAGTGGCTAAACATAATTATGTCTTCCCCAACAGTTTCTTATTATTAGCAACTGTTTGTAGCGTCATACAAATGAACATTCTTCTTTGTTCTGACCCAAAGTAACTATGGCACCACCTGTCTAAACTAAATCTTCTTTAACAGCAATACCAACTCAGAAATCAAGAGGAAGAGAGAGGTAAAAATATTGGGCTTTAAAAGATTCTAACAAATTGAATGGGCAAACAAAATTTGCATCAATTGTGACCAATGTTTAAGAAGTTTAGTCCCTTTTGGACAATTCTTTTGACTTCATACAACTTAGACCGACTTGCAAGTCGGTTCAGGACCTATCAATCTCCAAATTTTAAAGTATTCACCCAAAAGACAAAAAAAAAATCTTCAAATCATTCACATTTAGAGGCGTGAATTCTGATGGATATCAATTAATATTTTGGTTACAACAAAAAAAGAAAACAATTTATATTTGATTTAAGGGATGTTTTTAATTTATACCAAAATTACCATCTAAATGCACACATTTGCATTAATTATCTTCTGACTTTAAATACGTTCTGTATTTAATATTGATATCCAAAACTTTTAGCACCTAAAGCCTCTCTCAACAAAAAAGACAAAAGAATAAGAATGCACTTGAGCATACTCAATTATTTTTAGTAAAATCAAAAGAAAAAAATAGAAAAAAGAAACGGAAACTCTGCTAGTTAACACCAAAAATCTATGCAACGAAAAATTACCTTTAGCCCCTTGTGATTTAGCATATTTTTGCATAACCTCCTATGATTTCAAAAGTAATAGATAATTCCCTCATATTTTGAACTAAAATGGCAAAGTGATGAAATGCGTCACCATAATGGAGCCTATTGAAATGTCAAGAGTTTCCTCAAGTCAAGGCTAAAATTGTTTGTTAAGCATGGGTTTTATATATGAGTATTGAAAGTATAGGAGGGTCATGTAATAAAAGAGTTAAACCACAAGGGGTTAATTTATATTTCGTCCCTGATTTATATATCATGACCACTAACAATTTTAGTCTTAAATAGGGTATATTGACAATGTAGCTAGCTATGTTGAGGAAGACAATTTCCGCCATTTTAATACTTTAGTTAAAAAGTATAAGGGCGGTATATATAACTTTTCAAACAATAAAAGAATAATGTAAAAAAAAGGCAAAATCATAGAGTGTTAAAAATGTATTTTAATATAATGACGGTAAAAGAAAACAAAATTACAAAGTCAAATTAAAACGACCGCCTTACCTATACAACCATACCACTATTTTTTTTAGATTTCTACATTTGAAATAAAACTTGTAAAGCCTACACTACCAAAATTATTTGTGCTGTTGCCAAAGGTCAAATTTTAAAGCCACAACAATTCTTTATAACGTAACAAAATTACTCTTCTCAAGTCAAATTAATAGCATCATAAATTGACTTAACAAGTGTCATGTTGTTGTTCTTAATCTAACATCGAACTTTTCTTCTCAACCTGAAGGTTGCAGAGAAATTTCTAATTTTGTGATGAATTTTAAAAAAATTCTACAAAATGGGTGATTTTGGCAATGGATTCCGTCCGGGGGTCAGCGCATTCGCGAAATGCGAGCTCAGTAGAGCTCGCATTTCACGAATGCGAGCTCTACTCTGTAGTTCTTCTTAAGTAGAGCTCGCATTTCACGAATGCGAGCTCTACTCTGTAGTTCTTCTTAAGTATTCATCATGTCAGGTTCTTGTAGGAGGCATAAGTTCATGCTCTTCAGTCTTCTTCTTGCTTTGATTCTCATCTCATCAGAAGCATCAAGATTTCCAAAGGATATGTGGAAACAGATGCTGCCTAAAAGGCTTCCATCTCCTTCTTCAGCTCCCTCGAGAGGATCAAATTCTGTAGCTACTGCATCTACAGATATTGAAGCCTAGAGAAAGCTTCCTAATTCATCTGATGGAGGCAAGGTGTAGCAGATAGTGAAGAGGGTTATTCACAATTGACATCTCTAACTGTAAAGGCAGGATACTTGCAGATTTTGTACATGATCTGGTACATACATTTTTCTCTCATCACATCGATGAAAGGGCAAAACTGAGTGATCAAGCGATGAGGAGATTGATTGAAGGCCGTCTGATAAGTGGATCTCCTGTAAAGATGCTGAGCCGCTACTCATCAGAGACAGCATAGGGCACGATTGTAGAGATAGAGATTCAATAGAGGAGGCATAATTATTTAGTTTGTATGTAGAAGACAACTTTGATGTGTCCTGTAAACTCAGTGAGCTCGCATTCCGCGAATGCGAGCTCACTGAGCTCGCATTTTCGGAATGCGAAGACCCCCATTTGTAGAAAACACTCCAAGAACCGCCCTCGTTGTAGAATTCTTTTTTTTTTCCATCATAAACTAAGAATTCACCCGAAGGTTGCATAGCACGAGAAACAGCATGTTAGGTAGTGAAATAGCCTGCTCACGAGAAATAATTTTTAGTGTCAGACCATTTAAGATCCACAAATTTGGCAAACTAAGACTAAACTTTTGCCTTCAGAAGATTTCAACAGTCTTCAGAAGAGTCTGAGTTTCCGCTTCAGTTATAGTGGTCATTTCATAAATCTGGGGCTATAAATTTGAGCATGCTACGAATTTGATGCATCCTAAAACCATCCAGGAGACTTTCCTAATGGCCTTGGAAGCGGCTCAGTGAAAAGTAGTTCCTTTAGAATACGAGGAGAAATTATCTTTAGTACCAGAAACCTATGCTTGTGCTACTCGTTCCAACCTTCCAATACGTACACCTTTAGAAGAATTCCCAGTACTGCTAGTATTTCCATGAATAAGTGTTTAGAGAATATGAAAGTTTAGCTCTTCAAATAACAGCACTTGGTATGCTCCCTCTCCTTATCAATTTCCTATCTGGGATAGCTAATCTTCAATCAATATTGCCTGGAAAAACATTCACTTGTAGTATATGAAAAATAAAACCCACTTCAAGACTAGGGCACTGCTAAATTTGGAGTGGAATTGCAAGCTACAGCACACTGGAGAAAACGAAACTATTGCATTGACTGGCCAGCCAAAGAGAGTATCAACAACGATGTTGACACTGTCTTCTTCTGTGAGCCTCCGGATCCTCTTAGAGAATTGATGGCAAAAGAAGTTCAGGGCGTAACAAGTTCAAAGACTCTTGGCCGAGACCGAGACGACTTGGCCGAGTCGTCACCAGAATGGTGCCTTCTATTCCGATACTGGGACGAGATAATTCGAAATATTGGATCATTGAGAACTCGGCCGAGATGTCTCCGACGCGGATAGAAATGGTCGAGTCGTCCCGAGTCACACCGACTCATCTCGAATCAATTCGAATTTTTATTATTTTTGCTAATTTATTATTATTTTGTTTATCATATTTTTACAATTTTTAAAATATTAAATGTTTCAAAATTTTGTATCTCATCAAAACAGCTACCGATATGCCGAAATCGATGTGGAACGGTCCGGTCCACCACCGGTACTGCGGCTTTGATCAACCCCTCCTTTTGTTTGTAAAATTAGATGTTAGGCTAGTTTAGCCTCCCTATTACACAAAAAAAAAAAAAAAAAAGAAGATAAAACCCTGATAGCCAAAAGAAAAGGATTACAAAATTTTTAGTAAAAGTACATAAGCATTAAGATCCTACTGAAGGAGAAACACAAATTCAAAGATTTAAGCATTTCTATGCAACTTTAACTAGAAAACAAGTAAGAGTACAAAGGGTATCCATAACCAGAAAAGTACTAATGCTTGCAAGTTCTTATATCTAGTGCCTACATTTCACACAAAAGTAACGCCTTTAAAGTACAAAAGTAGTTAATTGATGAGGTCAATGTTGTCGTCTTCGCCATCATTTTTGGAACTTTGTGCTTTTGTCCCATTATTTCCTCCATCTCCATCACCACCACCGCAAGGTTGGATAAGGCTGCCAAAGCAAACACATGCCACCAGACAATAATCTAGATCATCAAGAAAATGAGCAAAATCTGCTGACATCTTCTCAAGATCGTATTGTACGAGAAACTTCTTGCCAACTTGAAATAGAATTTGCTGACTAGAATCATTCAAACATGCCACGGGGGTTGCGAAATTCCAATTTCCCCAAATTGGCAACCTCACATTATATTTTGTCCAAGAATCCTTAATACCATAATCTTTCATCACCCATAGGTGAACCTGGATACATGGATCAAACTTGATATGAAAAACAGTTGAGAGGCAACCATCCAAGCTACCTAAGGTGATTCCTCTATCGATGTTATAATCTTCATATTCAGGCATTGGGAGATCAAAGAATTGCTCAGTTGAGAGATCAAAGGCAGCAATGAAGGGAGCATGGGACGCCCTATCCAACATAATCCAGTGCAAAGCATTTCCAGCGAAAACACCATTTCGTTGATGAGGATTAGTTAAGGCCTGAAACGGGGAATCCTTGATCTTTCTCCATGAATTTGATTTCAAGCTGTATGCCATGATTTCATGGAATGATTCATAGATTAATTCGAAACTCGGCCTCCTACACTCGGTCAACACCACCAACTTGTAGTCATCAGAATCTTCATCATAACCGAAACCAAATTCATAATAAGAAGTCTTAAACTCTGCTAAAGAATAAAAGCTGAAAGGTGGCAATTGCCATTGCTTTTGTGTCAAAGGATTCAAGAGGATAATTTTTACCGGCCAAGATGCAGCGAGTAATCCAAGACAGACTAGGCCGTTGCACGAGCCCAGAATTTCGCAACCATAGGCAAAACCCCACTGACTTAACTCAGGAGAGAGTTTAATCAGTTCTTTGGAATTTTGGTCACAAATTTTGTCCCAATCTGAGGAGCATAACTTGTAATAGCCCTGGTGGGGTCCTCCAAGAAGAATCTTAACTTCAGAAGAGTTTGAACCTTTTCTTCTGATATCATGTTGCTTGATGAAATGTGGATTGCTGATTCGAGCACGCCATGATTTTGATACACATCTGAAACGTCCAAGAGACTTCACAGGTAACCTTAGGAGAATCTCAATGAAGAGAAGCTCCTCAGGAATCCTATCAGACATTTGAGAAGTTTTGAAGGTTTGCAAAGAGTTGATGACAATGAATCTGTGGCGCATAAAATTGTGCGGCTAATATAAAAAGGGAGACCTAAAGATCAAATTAAAGAATTTTCTAATCGTCTAGGAACTAAATCTGAAGAATGAAAATATTAACATATATGCGCCTACCGAAAATTCGAAAAAGGAAAAGCAATTAATAATGGGATAGGATATTAATTGAACTGCAACAACGCCTACTGGAAATTCGAAAATGGAAAAGCAATTAATAAGGAAATATGATATTAATTGCACTGCAACAGCTTTATCTATAGGATTCAGTTTGGATTCATAAAATATGGCATATTTGATATTAAAACTATAGGACTACTAAGTAGATGTGATATTTCGTTTTAAAGGAAGTAGAGAATTTAATTTTATAAATTTTTAATTGTAAAATGAATTTAAATAACATCTTAAAAACTACAATGAGATTCCATGATTTGTTCATATTAACTGTATTTTTGAAACAAAATTTACACGGGTTATATCTAGGTAAGGGCTAATTTCTGAAAATAATCCAAAAAACATTGTCTCAAAGTGGGTTGAGGTGGGGAAAATAAGAAGAAGAAGAAAGCAAAGAAGGAAAAAAAAATTTTGGGTATTTTTAGTTATGTATTTTAAAAACTTTGAAAAGTTTTTTGAAGTTATTATAACTAAAGTTGTTCAAAAAAACTTGTAAGAGAAAATTTTGGTAAAAAATTCATTTGTCAAACTGGTCCATTTGCCATTGGTCAAGGGAGACTTAGAACATTTTATGGTCATTGAAGATGCCAATTTCATAGCATTTTCTTGACTAAAACCAGTCACAAGTGATTCAAATGGAGTTTTGACTCTCTTGAAATCTTACTAGTTGTGCCCCGTTTTTCAAAGACCATTATTAAAGTCTTTAAATCTTAATAGTCGGACTTCATCGAGTTATTGAATTGAGCTTAGGTAAAATGTAGGTGATCCATAGGAATTCAAACCCTCTCAAACCACTCAACACTAATTTTATATCAATATTAATACAGAGATAGCATATGTCAGTTTTAAATTTCCCATTAATGTAGGTTAATTGCCCTTGAGAGCAAGGGTAGGCTCAAGTGGCTAAACCTAATATCTTCCCAATAGTTTTTTCTTATTAGCAGTTGTTTGTAGCTTAATACGAAAACACATTTTCTTTTTTGCTCCGACCCAAAGTAATTGTAGACCACCAGTCAAAACTAAATCTTCATGTAACAGTAATACCAACTCAGGAACCAAGTAGAAGAGACAGGTAAAAATATTGGGCATCAAAAGATTCTAACAAATTGAACGGACAAACAAAATTTGCATCATTTGTGATGACCAATGTTCAAGAAGTTTAGTCCTTTTTTATCAGTTCTTTTGGCTGGTTAAGTTTGATACAACTTAGACCTCCTGCAATCGGTTTAGGACTTACCAATGCCCAAATTCTAAATAATTCACCCAAAAGAAAAAAAAATCTTCAATCATTCACATTTAGAGGTGTGAAATCTGATAGATATCAATTAATATTTTCGTTACTACCAAAAAAATCAATTTATATTTGGTTTTAGGGATGTTTTAGTTACTTTAAATATGTTCTGCATTTAATATTTATATCCAAAACATTTAGCGCCTAAAGCTTCTGTTGGTTAACACTGAAAATCTATATAAGGAAAAAATATCTCTAACCCCTTGTGATTTAGCATAGTTTCACATGACCGCCTATGGCTTCAAAAGCAATAAATAATCCCCTCATATTTTGAGCTAAAATAGCACAGTGATGAAAATCGGTCCCCATAATGGAGCCCATTGAAATGTCAAGAGTACCTTAAAGTCAAGACTAAAATTGTTTGTTAAGCTGGGGCTTTATGTATAATTATTGAAAATATAGGAGAGTCATGTAATAAAGGAGTTAAATTCCAAGAGACTAATGTATACTTCACCCAAATTTATATATCATGACCATTAATAATTTTAGTTTTAAATAGGGTATATTGACATTGTAGCTTGCTGTGCTGAGGACGACAATTTCTGTCATTTTAATACTTTAGTTAAAAGTATAAGGGCGGAATGCATAACTTTTGAAACAATAACAAAATAATGTGAAAAAAAATCAAATCGTAGTGTGTTAAAATGTATTTTAATATAATGATGGTAAAAGAAAAAAAAATTACCAAGCCAAATTGAAACGACAGCCTTACCTATACAAACATACCACTATTTTATTTTCAGATTTGGACGTTTGAAATAAAACTTGAAAACCCTATACTACCAAAATTAATTGTGTTGTTGCCGAAACTCAAATTTCAAAACCACAACAAATTTTTATAAAGTAACAAAATTACTCTTCTCAAGTCAAATTAATAGCATCATAAATTTACTTAACAGGTTTCATGTTCTTATTCTTAATCTGACATCAAACTTTTACCTATGGCAAGTATTGCTTGCCACCAAATTGCACGGTTTGGAAAGGATTCATCTGCAGATACCATCGGATGATGTGTTGTGTACGTGCATGAGGAAGATGAATGATTTTGCTGGCCATCACCTGAAGGTTGTATAGCATGGGAAACTGCATATCAGGTAGGAAAATAGCCTGCTCATGAGAAACAATTTTTAGTGTCACACCATTTAAGATCCACAAATTTGGCAAACTAAGACTAAATCTAGTCCAAGAATCCTTAATACCATAATCTTTCATCAATCACAAGCCAGAACGTACTGTGGCGAGGATAAAACTCATCATTCAAAGTTCCAACAAGACAATCATCCAAGCTCCCTAAAGTGAGTATGATAGCTATGCTGTCGCCATCAAAATTGCATAGGCATTGGCAGCCTAGAAACGTGCTTAGTTGAGAGATTAAATGCATCAATAAAAATGCCGGTTTCATTGACCATAAGTGAGTGCAAAATAATGCCACCAATAACCCCATTAGTACCTTGGTTACGATCCTTCTTGGCATGAGTTAGTAAATCATGAATTTTCCTACATGAGTTGGATTTCAGGTTATAAATTGCGAGTTTGAGACGAAGTGGAGTGTTTCTCTATAAATGCGACTTCTAGATGGTTACTTCCTATGATCGTGTAAAGCCACCAAGTTGTAATCATCCAAAGTTAGTCATACGCTAATGATAATGATCATTAGTTTTCTCAACTTCCAGGAAAACCTGCACATTCAAGAGTGGCAAAAGTGATTGTTTTTTAGTGCATGGATGCAGGGTGATATTCTCTGTCAAATTTAGTACTTTGTGCGTAGCTCAAGACACACAAGCCCATGGCATGATCCTCGGAATTTGGAATGGCGCCGTCTCAACAGAGGTCAGAGATTGATCCCTCCCCTAGCATTCTTGCCACGAACCCAATCAAGATTAGGGCACTGCTAAATTTGGAGTGGAATTGCAAGCTACAGCACTCTGGAGGAAAGGAAACTTTGCATTGACTGGCCAGCCAAAGAGAGTATCAACAACGATGTCGACACTGTCTTCTTCTGTGAGCCTCCGGATCCTCTTAGAGAATTGATGGCAAAAGCTGTTCGGGGGGTGATGACCCCCTCCTTTTGTTTGTAAAAATAGATGTTAGGCGAATTTAGCCTCCCCTATTACACAAAAAAAAAAAAACAAAAGATAAAACCCTGATAGCCAAAAGAAAAGGATTACAAAATTTTTCAGTAAAAGTACATGAGCATTATGATCCTACTGAAGGAGAAACACAAATTCATAAGATTTACGTATATCTATGCAACTTTAACTAGAAAATAAGTAAGAGTACAAAGGGTACCCATAACCAGAAAAGTACTAATGCTTGCAAGTTCTTATATCTAGTGCCTAGATTTCACATAAAAGTAGCACCTTTAAAGTACAAAACTAGTTAATTGATGATGTCAATGTTGTGGTCTTCGCCATCATTTTTGGAACTTTGCGCTTTTGTCCCATTAATTCCTCCATCTCCATCACCACCACCGCAAGGTTTGATAAGGCTGCCAAAGCAAACACATGCCACCAGACAATAATCTAGATCATCAAGAAAATGAGCAAAATCTGTTGACATCTTCTCAAGATCGTATTGCACGAGAAACTTCTTGCCAACTTGAAATAGAATTTGCTGACTAGAATCATTCAAGCATGCCACAGGGGTTGCGAAATTCCACTTTCCCCAAATTGGCAACCTCACATTATATTTAGTCCAAGAATCCTTAATACCATAATCTTTCATCACCCACAGGTGAACCTGGATACAAGGATCAAACTTGATATGAAAAACAGCAGAAAGGCAACCATCCAAGTTTCCTAAAGTGATTCCTCTATCGATGTCATCATCTTCATATTCAGGAATTGGGAAATTAAAGAATTGCTCAGTTGAAAGATCAAAGGCAGCAATAAAGGGAGCATCGGACACCCTATCCATCATAATCCAGTGCAAAGCATTACCAGCAAAAACACCATTTCGTTGATGAGGATTAGTTAAGGCGTGAAACGGGGGATCCCTAATCCTTCTCCATGAATTTGATTTCAGGCCATAAGCCATGATTTCATGGAATGCTTCACACATTAATTCAAAGCTCAAGCTCCTAAACTCAACCAACACCACCAACTTGTAGTCATCAGAAACTTCATCATAACCGAAACCAAATTCAAAATAAGATGGCTTAAGTTCTGCAGAAGAATAAAAATTGAAAGGTGGCAATTGCCATTGCTTTTGTGTCAAAGGATTCAAGAGGATAATTTGTACCGGCCAAGATGCAGCGAGTAATCCAAGACTGACTAGGCCATTGCACGAGCCCAGAATTTCACAACCATAGGCAAAACCCCACTGACTTAACTCAGGAGAGAGTTTAATCAGTCCTTTGGCATTTTTGTCACGAATTTTGTCCCAATCTGAGGAGCATAACTTGTAACAGCCCTGATGAGGTCCTCCAAGAAGAATCTTAACTTCAGAAGAGTTTGAGCTTTTTCTTCTGATATAATGTTGCTTGATGAAATGTGGATTGCTAATCTGAGCACGCCATGATTTTGATACACATATAAAGCGTCCAAGAGACTTCAAAGGTAACCTGGTGAAAATCTCAATGAAGAGAAGCTCCTCCGGAATCCTACAAGACATTTGAGAAGTTTTGAGGTTTGCAAAGATTTGGTGACTGTGAATCTATGATGCATAAAATTGTGCGGCTAACAATAAAAAGGGAGACCTAAAGATCAAATTAAAGAATTTGCTACTTGTCTAGGAAATAAATCTAAAGAATGAAAATATTAACAATTAAGCGCCTACTGGAAATTGGGAAAAAAAAAGGAAAGTAATTAATATTGGGATAGGATATTAATTGGGATAGGATATTAATTGCACTACAACATCTTTAGCTGTTGGATTCAGTTTGGATTCATAAAATATGACATATCCATATTATTACTACAGGACTACCATGGCTTGTTTGGGATTGCGGTGCTTTCGCTAAAAAAGGGACTTTTAGGTGCTAAAAGTATTTTTAAAATGTTTGGTGAATAGCATCCCATAAAATTAGGAATAGAGTTTTTAGTATTAAAAGTACTTCTAGTAAAAGTTCAAATTTGGTACTTTTAGAGTAGCTTTTGTGATTTAAAAAATAAAACATCAAATTTAATCAGTTTATCCTATATTATGAACTAAATAAAGAGATAAACACTTTCAAATTACACATTATCCAATAAAATAAGTGCTTATTGAACTATGTTTCTAAACAATATATGTAAAAGTACTTAAGTAGTTAATAAATACATTTATTAAAATCTCTACTAGGGAAATACTTTTCAATAAGTTACCGCAACCCCAAACATGCACTAAATGAATGTGATATTTCGTTTTAAAGGAAGTAGAGAGTTTAGTTTTATAAATTTTTAATCGTAAAAAGAATTAAATAACAGCTTAAAAACTACAATGAGATTCCTTGATTTGTTCATATTGACCATGTTGTTGAAACAAAAATTTACACACAAGTTATATCTAGGTAAGTGATTACGAAGTATAAATCATTTAAAAACATAATAAAATACTACCACGCATTACAGGAATCGTGAATCAAATTATTGCAAGCCCTAATTAGTCGTTTCAAAAATTAATTTAAATAGTTTAGAATGAATCCACAATAGCTTTCTCTTTAATAGGAAATGCTTCTTTATACTAATTTAGCACATGCAAAATGTAATTGAACAGGAATGATTTGAGGTAATTTCATTGGCACCTATGCATTAATTATAGGAGATTGCGAAGAAAGAAAAATAAAAAGGATTTTGGTTTGTGAAGATTCATGAATATCAAAATTCAGAAGTGCTACTAATTCCTTGAATATCACTCTAGATATAATACAAAGCCCATCTCTTCAAGGTTCTCAGTATTCCGAGTGCTAAACCCTCTTTCACACACTTGCTAAAGGTCGTTGTCCTCCTAAGGACAAGTAGAACTATCCTAAAATTTGAAGTAGAAATTATGCAGATTTGTTTTACAAATTTTAATCCAAGGGCCCTTAACTGCATGATACATTATTTCTCGAAAAAAAAAAAGAAAAGAAAATAAAGTATGATCATTAACCCTTTTTTTTTTTTTGTCTAAATGCAAAGAATGTTTAAGTGTACTACAAAACTCATATTGACGTTGCAAGATAAGAGAACCTTTTCTTTTTAAAAAAAAAATTATAATTGCCCAAAAAGGCAAATATAAACATCCAATTGGGGATTTACTTGGCGGATTATACCATTCCTCATTTCTTCATAGGTGGTGATTCACTATTAGTAAAGGGTGGTAATCATGTCGCAGCAGTTCTTTTAATCCCACAACATATTCTTCTTTAAAAGACAAATTTACCTTTTTCAAAGTCTATCCAACATTTGACTATTGAAGGGCATTATTGTCATTTTAAAGAAATTTGTTATAAGAATGAAAAAAAAAAAAAGAAATTTGCGATAGAATAAAAAAAATATTTTGGAAATATTATTTGACATTGGTCAAAAGAGAAATAAAACATTTTAAGGTGATTAAAGACATCAAACTTAATCGCATATTATTAATCCAAACCAATTACAAGTGACTCAATACTCGAGTTTCTTGAAATCTTACTAGTTGGATCTTGTTGAGTTACCTCTATCAGCGTTTTTAAATCTTAATAGTTGGGTTTCATTGAGTTACCGAATTTAGCCCAACAAAAATATAAGTGACCTATAGAAATTTAAATTCACTCGAACCATCCAACCCAAATTTTATATCAGTTTTTTTTTTTTTTGTGGAAATTTTATATCAGTTTCAATACAGAGTATGTTAAATTTCAGCTTCCATTAATGTAGGTTAAATTGCCCTTGAGAGCAGGGGTAGGCTCAAGTGGATAAATGACAGGTTGTCGAAGCCTGTGCAATAATAAAACCTGCTCAAACTAAAAGTAATTTCTGTAGATAGTGGTAAGCAGGGTCGAATCCACAGGGACCGGGAGTAATTGTTTCTTTTCAAATTCACAGTGACAATGGGGTGTTTTTATGCAGGATGTGACAATCAAAGAAATTCAACTAAAATCTAAAAAGCTACTAAAAATTAAATAACAAATTACTGAAATCAAATGAGTGATAATTAAGGATCTAGCCAAGAAATAACTTCAGCAACGGTTCACCCAATTGATCATCGATAAGCAAAGGCAATTCCAATTATTTACTAATAAATAGGTTATAACTACCAAACAAGCGATGGCAGTCAACCCCTCCTTACTGTGTCGGTGATCAAGGTACGCCCGTTAATCACTGCTCTAATTGAGAAATAATCCTAGGTACGCCCATAGAATTTAATTCCCCAATTGCCTTACGTATTAGAGGAGTCCTATTCTAACCAAATAACACACTACCAGGGTTATTTTAGATTAGCCCGCGTATTCCCCTGACACGAATCTAATCGTGCCAGTTGTCACTATTTTGAGGCAATTAAACAATTACGGATTTAATACCTCAAATGATAATAGATTATCAAATCAATTAATTATCCGGATCCAAGACAATCAATTAATTAAACAACCATAAGCACTGCAACCAGAGAATATGCAAATACCAATAAATAAGAGAAAAAGATAAAATTAAATCGATCTCATAATTTTAGATGATTCAAAGCATCCGTTACTCCTTGACTAGAGAAAATGGATTTAGCTCATCGTTGATGGAAAAACCCCATACAAAGCTGAAGTGATAGTTGCGGCCATTATGTGGTAGGAGGAATTCACTACAGACCGCAAGGAAAAATCAAATGAAAAAGCTACAGGGAAATGATTCAATGCTTCAATGGCTCCTGACATCCGAGAGGCAACTACTACTAAGAAGCAAAGGAAGGAAAAGTCAAAGGTGTAAGCTAAGCTACAGGACGAAAGGCTAAGGAAGCCAGCCGTCTTCAGTCCTCTGCTGCTCTTGCCTTGTGCGGCGGCTCCCCTAGGGGAAGAAGAAGACTTTTCACTTCAGCCCTGCGTTCCTCCTTTTAATGCTGCCATCTGCGAATTACCAAAAAGGACTTGTATCTCCTTATTCCAGAAATGCCCTCGATTGCCTGCTATGTGAACTCTTTCTCGATAACTGTCAAATTGGCCTTTATTGTGATATTTTTGTTCTACTCCCTGAAATAAATGCAAATTACGAAAAGTGAGTAGAATCTAATAATTAATTCACATTGGGTTAAGTAATAGGGAAAATTAATAATAAAATTAACTATCAAATTGCAACCTATCAATAAACCTATATCTTCCCAACGATAATGTTTTCTCATTGGCAGCTGTTTGTGGCTTAATATTCGGACCCAAAGTAATTTTAGAGCCCCATCAGTCAAAACTAAATCTTTATGTAACAGGAATTATTTGTACATTAGCGTAGAAAGTGAATCATACTCCATAGGCCAGCACAAAAACCAAAATCATGTTACATTATTGATCATACATGAAGTAAACTGTGCAAAATTAATAAGCAGAATCCTCAAACAAGATGCCGCAGACACTACATGAAACATTTTTCTTTTTGAAATTTGCTGTCAACCTTCACCTGCTGATCCTGCTGTGGGATCAAGCAAATTGGTTTTCTCCATGCTCTGAGTTTTGCTCAACAACGTCCAAGACCACCGGAAAGAAGGCTTCCTCTTCTTGCGCGACCACCAGAAGGCAGGAGGAGGCTTCCAGAACAAACACATGCAGCCAAAGTTGAAAGTGCAACAGGATTACGGAGGAATGTTGCAGACCTTCCCTTTAAGTTGTATAGGAGAAGAGAGTTGGAGCCTTCATTGAAACTATCAAACATAATTTGTAAAAGAACATGATGGTTATAACCCTTGGTCAAGGCAATGGGAACAACAGAAGTATACAGTCTGCAAATTGGGAGCTTCAAAGTATACTTAAACCAAGAATCCTCATCTGCATATTTTCTCATCACCCACATATCAACAACATAAGTTGGATACCTACCAATAAAAACTGCAGAAAGACAACCACCCGAACTCCCTAAACATACATTCCAGTGAATGCTACCACCAGGGTACTCAGGTAATAGCATGGAATAAAATTGCTCAGTTTGGAGATCAAAGGCAACAACAAAAACATCCATGGAATTCCAATCTCTCATGACCCAATGCAAAGCCTTACCAATGAAAACACCTCTAACTTGATCATCAAAAGCTGTCGCACCCTCAAATGGTGAATCCAAAACCTTCCAAGAATTTGAATTAAAGCTATAAACCATGACTTCTATAGAAGGATTTTCAGTTAAAACTACCAACATGTAGTCATCAGTAACTTCGTTGTACCCAAAACCATAATGATGACTAGTTCCTCCAGGGTAATGTTTAGGGAACCACGGTAAATCCCATTTCTTTCGAGTTAAAGGATTCACAAAGGTCAGAGCTAAAGGTGCAGTTCCAAATAGTAAACCAAGACATATTAGGCCATTACATGATCCAAGGATTTGACATCCATAAAAATCATGAAGTTCATAAATACCATGATTTAGTTTATGGGAGATCTTGATTTTTTTAGCTCTTCCACATACTTCATCAAGATCAAAGCTAAGAATATCATGTACATTTATGGAGAAGAGTTTATGAGTGCCATAATTAGAACCTCCAACAAGAATACGAACTTCAGCCGAGTCAGACTCCTTTGTTCTGTCATAATGCATCTTGACGAATTGCAAATTGTCAATCTGAGCTTTCCATGATTTCGATACACACTGAAATCGTGCAAGAGCTTTCAGGGGTAACCTTATTAGCACCTCGGTGAAGAGCTGAGGAATATATGCAGACATGGTTGCAGACTTCAACTGTGATACAAGCAAGCAAGAAGGCAGCTACATATAAGATAAAGCAGTAACAGTTTTTTCTGGTATAAGGTTAGAAAAATAAGAAAAGCAAAGGATAAAAGAAAAGGAAAATTCTTACCAGTATGAAGTTTCTGACTTCTGCTCTTTTAATCACAGAATGATCCTCAAACACAGAAATGGGGCAGATTGATTGGTGCTTCGGAGTTTTTTTTTTTCTGTTTTTTTGGGGTGGTTGGGGGGGGGGGATGCTGAAAATATTTTCTGCTAGGTGCCTCCAAAGGGACTGAAAGAAACCAAATTTAGGGAGGAAGACAGGAAAATTGGGCGAGGGAGAAAACTGCTTTAGTAAATAAAGGAGGTGGAGATGGGATTGAGGAAAAAATACAAAAGATGGTTGTTGAAGATAAAGGTGTGAACAGAAGGATGGTTTCAAATGCTGGCTTCAAACACTTGAGGGACACATAAGATATCATCCGTTAAAGCACAAGCATTTAAAGTTAGTACTGATTTGCATCAGATCTATAAGAATTTTTGGCATGAGGAGGGGCGTAAACAATCACATCTCCAATTGGAGGAGACAATAAGTGGTCCAGGCGTGATCAATCTTGGAATGGATAGCTAGAAGTTGTAGATAAAAGAAAAGATTTTGTTTAAGCAATTGTTGAGGCTCTTGGTCCTCTCTGGACACAGAAGTGCTAATAAAGTGAGGTACAGTACACCGAGGTAAAGGAAAGTATTCAGAGGCTACAGTTTTAGGCCTTTGTTGGGAGAGAGCAGTGTGAGGAAGCACGACAGAAAACAATTTGGGGAGGAACAGAAAGGTAGATTATGACAAGTGAAGGGAAGAAAGCTGCTCAAAAGAGTGAAGAAGGTGGCAGTGGGGTTGAGGGAAGAGTACAAAAGGGGGTTGTTGGAGATGACAGGTGAAGTGTGAAGACAAGGATATTTTCACATGCTTAAACACTTATTTGAAGGCATATGTTTTAATCCGTTAAAGTAAGAGCACTTAAAAGTTATTGTCAACTTGCATCAGATTGATAAGAATTTTTGGCATGGAGGACAGGTATAAACTGTCAGACCTCCAATTGCAGGAGATAATTAATGGTCCAGATGTGATCAAGTTTGGAATGCATGGCTAGGATTTGTAGATAAAACAAAGGTTATTGTTTATACAATTGTCAAGGCCCTTGGTCCACTCTGGACTTCGAAACAGAGAGTAAGAAAGACAATTCTCAATCTTAGTTTGGATAAAGAGAAGCATTGTGAGGAAGTACAGTTGCAGGAAAGAAACCGAATCTAGGGAGCAACAGAGGAAGATTATAATGAGGGCAATGGAGAAAAGTGCTGAAGAGAGTGATAGAGGTGGAGGTGGGCCTGAGGGAAAAGTACAAAAGGGAGTTATAGGAGATAACAGGGAAGAGCGAACAATAAGATAGCTTCAAAAACTTAAACACTCGTCGAAGACAAGTTTAATCCGTTAAAATACGAGTATTTAAATTTATTGTTGATGTGCGTCAGTTTTATAAAATTTTTGGCATGGGGGACGCATGTAAACAATCACAGCTCCAATTATAAAAAACAAATTAAGGCCAAGAGATGACCAAGTTTGGAATCAATGGCTAGGATTTCCAGATGAAACAAAAGATGCTTATGCAATTGTTGAGGTGTCGGTCCTCTTTGGACATGTTAGGCAGGAAAGTCAGATGAAGTACAAATAGAAAATATTTAACAACCAGGATTTTAAGGCTCTGTTAGAATAGAGAGAAAGCCATATGGGGAAGTGAAGTGCAGGAAAGAGAGGTAAGGACAGTTAAAATCAATGCCTAGTCCATGTTGATTTACCAAAAATCCAGATTGAGAGAAAATGGGTAAATTCGTAGTCATTATAGCCAACTATTCACCTATAACACAGAATTTTGCAGGACACAATGCTGGAAAATGCAGTAAAATTATATAACTTCAAGCAAACAAAACATGAAAACAAGTAAAAATAACAAACTTTCTGCATACCAAAACACTCAAAAAAAAAAAAAGTAACCAACTTTTCATCACTTCATCAAACTTTTGCATCCCATAATAATATGACGTATGTGTTTGTGCCTTGTCCATCAAAGTTTACACCCATTAGAACAGTATAAACATTTGAAGTTATAATCTACTGTTTTCAAGAGGTTTTGCAAGACGTTAAGAATGTTCTGCTTGGTCAAAGTAATAAAATTAAGTATGTAAACTATGTATTACCTTATCACTGAATTCACGTTAACCAAAAGTTGAAACGTTTTTTTCCTAGTACAAATGTAAACTTTGAAGCACATGAAACAACAGCTCACATTGAATCATGTGAACCATATCTGTGTAAGAATTCTCCATATTACCCAGCAGAAGGTATAACTTTGCACTTTGTGTGATTGTTCACTAGCTCTTTGATTCCAAAGCTTAAACGAAGATTCCTCTGAAAAAAGGGGGCTAGGCATCCAATAACTAAATATTTTAGATTATTTGAGGAGTACTTTTGAGTTATTATTTTCCTGTGACAAGAGAAAAGAATCCACATATTTCTTCTTTTTCCTCAAATTAATATCAGCCAACATAGCAGTCACTATATCTTTTATTTTCCCTATAATTATAAAGGTCTTCAAAATTTTTCTTTATATAGGTCTTATTATTGATAGTTAAACATTTTAAGTTTTATGGAGTAATTTTTTCATTTATATTGACTAGTTGCAAATTTTCCTTCTACGTCTTTCATATACAGAGATTTGTTGCCCCTCTCTTTTCCTTCTCTTGGGAAGTTCCATCTAAGGAGATAAAGTACCATAAGGTAATCATAATTTATACGGTTGCCAATTATGAACGTACTCACTTTTCCGTAAATCGAGAAAATGCTCTTGATTAGCACTAAACACCACTGCCTCTCTTTTCTTGTCGATAAAGCCACTTTGAGAAACAGAAGTCTTTTCCATCTTTGACATTGCTTGAGCTGAGGAAAAAGTTTGACCATTTTTGGCATTTTTGTTGCAAATCTTTGATGGTTATAACTTGTGAATCCTGATACAAGCTCCAGCGACAATCTTATCAACTTCAGAGGAGCCTAAAGTTTTTCTTCTACAGTAATGAAGTTTGATAAATTGTGGTCTATAATTTTGAGAAGAGCATAATGTTGATGCAAAATTGTCCAAGAGTCAAGACTTGTAACCTTAAGAGCACCTCAACAAATGGCAATTTCTTAGGAATATTGTCAGACATGGTTGAAGTTTTCAGCTTTGCAACAAGAAGGACAACAAGTATGGTGATTCTTCCTTAATATATAGACCAAATTCAGAAGATTCCAAATCCTACTGTACCATAATGAAGACATACAAGTAATAAATAGTTCCTAAACCAAGCAGAAACAAATTTGGAAAATTGAAACATTCCAACACCTTCGTCTATGTGAAACCAAAGGTTTTAAGGACTGTTAATTGTTCATGATTAATAATTCAACTGTAACTTAAGCTATTAGTTTTGTGTTGTTTCCGAAATTAGGACGTCTCTTTAACTCGAAGAGTTAATAGGAGAGGTGTCAACCAAAGTTTCATTCAGCAATTTTAAAATGGTCAGCCCTCTTAGTTTAACTAAAATAGTAGAATTGGTTTGCGTAACAAGTAATGATAGAGATTGTATTCGTATGTGATTCATGATTCAGAACCCTTCAGATTTGTGTATCACTAACAAATATCCAATAAACCCATTAATTAAGTGGCACTAAAGTTTGGTTAAACATTTGAAATTCCACAATCATTTGAATAGCAAAAACATAACCATCTATGACCTGGAGAAATTTATTTTATACACATGCAACAAAAATCTAATAGTTGGAAGCCTCTTACCTGTCTCCTAATATCAATTAGTACAGAAACCCATAATATTAAATCTCACACTCATTAATATAAATTAATGGCATGCTCTGTAACACACTAGTATGAATATTTCTCAAGTTTCCAGATTCATTGATCATTTATTCATACAAAAGCTTGCCTATTATCACCTTTGATAGGCAACGAAGGTTAACTTCTTGAGGTGCTGAATGCTCTCAGCTAAGAGTTCTTTGGCAAAATACAATGGTAAAGGGCATTATTCTCCAAACTAATAGTGATGACTTTCGAATCCTGATATTTAGGCCACAAGAAGATTCTTAAACTTAATTTAGAAGCAAGTTAAAATCATATCCCCCAATTCCCTCAAAAACAGAAGGTAATGGAAATATAACATTTATGACAACATTCAAAAGAAAAAACTGACAAGCAATTGAACTTACCACAACATTATTTTGCATGCTACTACTACCATAAACAAAAGCAACTACTTCTTCTCCTTCTTTATCCAGTACTGCTTTCGGTTCTTTCTCCTTTTCTTCACCTTCCTCCACCGCGGTAACCACCACCATAAAGAAGGCTTCGTCCTTCTGCCAATAGCACACAAAGGTGTAAGAAGGCTTTCTGGAAAAAACACGTCACCAGACTAAAAAGTGCCACTGAAACACAAGAATGATGTATTTTTCATCTTCAAGTCATATAGTAGAAGATACTTAAAAGTGCCACTGGATCACAAGAATGATGTATTTTTCATCTTCAAGTCATATAGTAGAAGATAGTTAGAGTTAATGTGAATAAGAACTTGCTGACAGTAATCATTCAACTATGAAACAGGAATTACAGAGCTATAATGCCAATACATTGACAGCTGTGACATAAACTTAATTGAAGAATCATCAACTCCATGCTTTTCATCACCAACAAATCCGCAACAAAAATGTACAATCCTACTCTGGAAAGCTACAGAAAGACTAACATCCAAATTCCTTAAACTTATTTGCCACTCCATTAGATGCTACCATTGTGATTTTGAGGTGACAGATCATGACTAAATAGCAAAGTTGATTGACCAAAAGGCAGCAACAAATGCAGCCAGAGAACACGAATCTCACATAATCCAATCAAAGCATTATCAACAAACACAACCATGGCTCCTTCCAGAATCCCATTTTAGGCTATAAACCATGACGTAACAGGATGTCTGCTAACGCTATTTGAGCCAAAACTAACAATTTATAGTCAATAGTAGACTTTTCATTGCACCAAAAACCATATTCATATCTAGGTTCCTAGACTCAAGAACTCCACAAAACCTTGTAAATCCCTTTTCTTTCGAGTTACATAATTCCAAAACAACACAGCAAATGGTGAAGTTTGCTAGAATAAACCACTATATACTAGGCCATTACATGATCCTAACATTTGACATCCATAACAATCACCAAGCTCGTAACAGCACAATGTGTAACTTCAAAAGAAAGGTTGATTTTTTTCGCCTTCTTTTTCATCGCAAACAACATCAGAACCAAAGCTAAAGATCAATGAACATTTGTACAGTAGAGTTTGTACTTGCCATAGTGAAGCCCTCCATTAGAATGCGAACTCCAGCTAAATTCCGACTGTTTTGGGTTGTCAATTTTTGCCCTCCATGATTTTGATATGGACTGAAATCTGCGCTCCATGGTTAAACTGGATTTTCAGCTATGCTGCTTCAAAGGAAAACAAAAAGAGACGCTAATTTAGTACTAACAACATTTGAAACTTAGCAATATCTTGACCAATTGTAATGAAGTAAAATAAAAAGAAAACAAGTATATGTTGGGTTGAAATCCCAAAATCCAAAAAACCAAAAAGTGGTAAAGAAGATTAAAAGTAATACAACAAGAAAAACCTGTCAAAAGGGTGGAAAGGTGGAACCCTTTGTGCTGATTCTGATTCTTCAATCCCACAAAGATTTGAAACCAAGAAATTGGTGGGATTTTGCTAAAGCGTATAAGCTTTTCTTTTGTCCATTTTTTTTTTGGGGTACGATTTCTTTCGTCTAATTGAATTATAGTCCTTTTAAGTGTTTGGTCATCCGCACCAAAAATTATAGAGAAGGTTAGGAAATTTGAAGTTGTAAGCTTATGCCTTATGGCTGCTGGACTACCGCTCAAAAAAATGGTTGCTTAATTTTCGAGTGGTTGTACCATGTGCAGTTGCGCTTGTACGTAGATTAGTCCATCTCGTGAATCATGCATCAATTCATTGTTTTGTAGATTATTCCTAGAATATATTTAACAAAAATCTTATAGTAGATTATATTTTTCACTCTTTTGTTGGACAAAAATTCCTCAACCCGAAAATTATCTCGCTTGCTTAACTCAATTTACTGAATATTTTATATTAAGAATAACGTTAGAATTTTTTTTTACTAATCGTCGTATATCCAAACTTGACATCTTCTTAGAACTAAAAGAAGCATACGAAAGAGAATATTTATTTTTTTATTTTTTCCATTTATTTGGGTCATGAATCATAATCATTCTATTTAAATGAAGCAATTTCTTTATATTTGTGGACTCAATGGGGGATACAATTCCTTTTGATGTTAATCCTTTCTAGTTAGTTTGAATAAGCAACATTGTCAGGGTTAATATTTTAATGTGACAATAGTTCTTGCATTAATTGTTTAAATTACCTTTCCAATCAACCATATATAGACATGTTTACAACTCCAAAACCGTCGATTTCGATTTAAAAGCTAATGGTTTTGATTCTTTTGAAAGGTGGAACTTGAACCAGAATCGGCTCTTATAAGGATAGTTACGGTGAGTCGGTGACAGTTCTTGAACATTTGGTTCTAGTCCGATTTATTCCGATTACGATTCTGATTTCTTCCGATTATGGTTTCAATTCTTTTAGTTATGTTTAAACACTTATTCTTATAAAATTGATTTGGGAAATGTAATTTGGACTCTTTTTTTGTTATCTGCACTCCTACCATTTATTTTATCATATAATTTAATAAATGAAAAATATTTGATTAAAATGATAATAGAAGTGTGATTAACAAAAATAGGAGTGCAAATAACATTTCCCATTGATTTTAAGAAATGTGACAATGGATATAAAAAAAATAAGAACTTTATTATATTATCATGTGGAAGGAAAAAAAGATGCAAAATTCATGAAAAAAAATTTCATTGTTGATTAGATTAGATTGGCTTAGATGTACATTAGTCATGGGGTATAAACTTATTAAAAGAATGGGACAACGAGTTGTTGAGTTTGGATTGGAATTGTTGGTATTAGATGCTGACTTAGTAGATATTTTTTTAGATGGTTTGAATAGATTCTAAATCGCCGATTCCAATTTTGATTCAAAATTTGGATAAACCTCCGAATCTCTGAACCTCTAGTTAGGGTTATAGTTCTAGTTTCTAAAATTTGATTCCAATTTTAGTTCAACAAGTCGTCGAATCAAAATCGATTCGATTTCGATTCAAATCTAAATCATGATCACTCTTATTCATAAGGTCTTGACTCGTGCAAAGGTAACATCCAAAAATATGCTTTAACATCAAAATTTTGGATGTTGCAGAATCAAAGGGTCTTATTTTTTTCCTAATTATTTTTTTAGGGTGGGATCTTTTGCAATAATAATAATAATAATAATAATTAGTAATCGACACCTATGATCATTTCTATATTTTGGGGATCCAAGAAATCCTCCCAATGAGTAAAAGACAGTAGACCGTGCATACCAACCGGAAGTACTCAAAACCACTTTCGAACACAAAAGTCGCTATTCCATCTTTGCCTCGGACAATCACTCAAATCCCATTTCAAGTCCCTAACTCCACTCCACCTTCCTTTCCCAATTCCCCAACTTTCCTTCCTTTCAAACCCCAAATTTTCACCCCAAAATTGTTCTCTAATGCAAACCTTGGATACCCTTTGAAGTCTTCTTCGAGAGTTTCTTGCTCTAAAGGTGAGTTCTTGGTTGATTCCTGTTTTTCTTGTATACATGTGTAGCTATAATTGATGGGAAATTTTTGTACTTTGCAAGATTTCTGATGTGGGTTTTGTGAAAATTTTGATCTTTATGGTGTTTGTAAGAAATTTTTGGCTGTTGAATGAGTATTAGAGGCTTTGGGTTATTTTTCAATGATGGCACCACCAACTTCTAGAAGAAAGAAATGGACTGAGGCAGAAGAGAGGACTTTAATAGATAAGTATGGTGAGATGGTCTGTGATGGAACTTTAGCTAAAATGAAAACTAGGGAGAAAAAATTTAAGCCTATTGCCTTGTATGTTAATTCTGTACACCATGTTAGGGACCCCGTTACATACCCTTGGCAGTGGACTTGGAAAGATGTGTCAGTAAAAGTGCAGAATATGAGGCATCAGTATGCTTTGGTTAAGCAGAAGATTAAGAAAATGGAGTCTGTTGGCGATTCGGGTTGCGGGGATGAGTTTGATTGGATGGAGGGGCTGACGTATTGGTCGAATTTTCTTAGCTATAAGGAGGTTTTTGGTGACGTGTCAGTTGTACACAATAGTTGCGATTCATTAGCGATTGTCGGAGATTGTAATGATAATGATGGGGGTTTTGATGGTGGCGTTCATGGGATGGATATGACTCAGTTTGATCATCTGGGTCATGTGGGTGATGATGATTTTGCACCTGGTCTTGATGGGGTCGATAATGGGATTATCAGTTTGGGGTTCCATTATGAGCGTGAGGAAGGAGAGGAGAATTTTAATGGAGGTAATAAAAGTAATAGTCATGTAAAAGAGGATGGGGATGATGGATTCGTTTATGAAGGCACTGAGCCTACTGGTTCTGATACAAGGAAGAAGAGTAAGGTCTCAAAAGGGTTGGAAAAGAAGGCATGGAGGTTTCTGGCAAACCAATTGGGACAGCTAAGGGAAATGGAAACCCAATTTGAGCAGCGTGAAGCTGATAGAGAACGGGAGAGGTTGAGGAGAGAACGCCTTCTCATGGAAATTGAGCAGGAACGAGACATGAAATGGCAAGAAAGAGAAAAGGAGAGGGAAGAAAGGGAAATATCTAGGGAGAAGCTGAGAAAACAGAGGATTCTTGAATGGGAGACCATGGAAAAGGAAATTGAAGACCGGGAAAGGAGAAGACGAGATGAAGACTTAATGTTTGAGAGGCAATGGGAGGAAAGGATGAATAGGAGTAGATTGGAATGGGAGAAGAGGATGGATGACATGTTAAGTCAGCACAGAGCACAAATGAGCCAGATACAGACTCGATTAGTTCACGAACAACAGAGTCTCACTAGTCAGTTGCTTGGTATTGTTTCACAGTGGACGGGTCATCCAACTGGTCTCTCTGACCACACTGGTGCTAGTAGCCATTATCTTAATCAGATGATACAAAATCTTCACCATGTAAATGGTTTGGTGCATGGTGATGCAAGGGTTGATGGTGATAACCAAGAAGATCAATTTATCGTGGATGGCTGATAGTATCATTGCTCCCTTTGATATAACACAAAAATACAGAGTTGCAGAATTGTAGAGGTCTGTAATCTTGCAAGATCTTTTATTACATTTTGTTCTTTGTATCCTCCCCTTTTTCTCTTATTCTTTTCTTGCCTATTTTAGTGTAGGTTAAATGTTCTCTGCTCCAATTTTTTGATGTAACTAGTGTTCTAAGCTGACCAAAAGGCCAGTTGTGTTTTCTATACAATGCAGCCATCACTTGTCATATTGCCTTAAGTCTTGTTTGTTCTGACGTCTGAAGGTGATTATATCAGATATTGTCATTTTATAAGGCTTTACTAAGCAGTGAAAGTAACATCTACCCTAATTTGACTTAAATTTGTACCTTTTTCTGTTGGGTATCCTAATTTGACTTAAATTTGTTGTTTTTGACAAGACCACATCTGTGTTTTGTATTCCAGCATCAGTTATGTGCACTTTGAGCAATTCTTTGGGCCTCTGGCTGCTCTGCCATATTTGAAGCTGAGATTACTAATATTTTGTGGTCCAGCATATTACAGAAAGCAGAAATACCTTGAGACAAATGACACTCTTTCATGCATAGGTTATTGGCGTTGTTTTTAAGTGATCTAATCAAGTAGATTTTTTTACACTATATATCCCGAACATGAAAAGATGTGAATATGTTATTCATGAATGGAGTTCAGAGACAATCTTCAATTCAAGTGTACATGCACAAAGGTTACCTTATCCAATGACCCTTGCAGTAGCTTTTCTTTTTATTTGTTCCCTTCTCTCAGGCAGATCTATTATATTCCATACAAAAGTTAAATGAAGTATTGGTTGAGGACTCATTATTTTCTAAGTGATTGGTTTTAGCATTTTTATTTGTACTCCATCCTGGAGCAGAAGTTCAGTCTGAAAGGCATTTCTTGTTTGGAGCAAAGCCTATGCCTGTGTTGTCAATATTTAGGCTGTGCTTTAACTTAATTTCCATTTGGTGGAAGTTGATCCTTAAACCTGATTTACTTACTTTAGGCTTTCTTTGAATGGCTTATTCAATTTGATTGAATTAGCATAGATTACAGTGAGTCACTCATGTTTTGGATGAGAAACATAGATTCTTACTGCTGTTCACCCAATTACAGAGTTGCATACGCTGATGATTGTATCCTTGTAAACTTGAAGCCATAACAATATAATTTAGTTAGCATGACCGTGTTGGTGAGCTCTCGTTATTGTGTGATTTGGGATTTGTGTTCTGATTTTGCTTCGAGTACAGTGGGCGATGTCGTGGTCATATATTTACCCGGGGAAGCTCTTTTCCATCTGGACCCCAACTTAATTTGTCAATTTGTTGGCTTTGCTCCTGTGCAGAGCCGAATGAGATAGCAGTTACAGGCTTCACTTGCTTTCCAGGAGATGGAATGGTCTTTTCCCATTTAAACAAGTTGACCTGTGATTTAAATGCGATTTTTTTCTTATGTGTCTACATGTAAATGGTCTTTTCTCATGCTTAAGATCTCTGTTTCACAGTCTTTGTTTCGTGTCCATATCATAGATCTGCATTCAATTCATGATACTGAATTTTGTAGATCATCCAAGTGAACTGTTGTCCTGCGTCTGGTTCAATTTCTGTTTTGGCCTATGGCATGTGGCATTCACATTATGCTTATTCTTTTCTCTTAGATGTACCTTATGAAAGTTTTAATATAAAGCGATGCACGATGCACTTTTGCCATCAGACCTCTGGTTGAGTTAGCATGCTGCTTCTGCCTGTTTGGCGGCCCATTCTGTCTTTAATCCTTTGATTCCTTTCTAGCTGACTTTCAATTGATGCTTAAGGATCTTTTCTGCTGGCTGTGCTGCTCTAGTCGATTGCTTGCATTTGGTTACCATCCAAACCATGATTGTGCTTTGTTCAAACTATCAAGAAACTGAATAGGGAGGTAAGGCCTTGATGAGGGCATGTATCTAAATTTCAGCTTTGCTTAGACTTTGAAACTTGCCCCTCAAGAGTCAATCTACATTGATCTTACAAAATGCAATCTCAACCAAGATGTTTCATGGCAAATTGTTGGATAATATGCGACTTTGATGCATGATGTCCCCAACTTTTGATGGGTGTTGGAGAAATTGAAACAAAAAAAAAAAAACATTTGTTTGGTTGATCATATGGTGCAAAATGATAGTTCTTGAAAGTTGCTAATAAGTTAACCTCGGATAGCACAACATAGGATTTTAGCGTATTTACTTCCATTCGAGAAAATGAGTCCCTTCATCATCAACTAACGAGTAGATTAAGCTTATGATATTAAGAAGTTAAAAAGATGATGATTACCAACAACTTTATGAAAACATGATTCATACTTTTTTATTGCAATTACGACCATAAACTTTGAACTAGCCTATCTCCAAATGGTACAACAATTTCACATTCAACTCAATAAGACACTAAAATCAATTTTTTTTTTTTGACACAGGGATATCCGGGCCTTTGGTGCGACTAATCCCCTGCGACTCGAGAGAAGATGTCCATTCCTCTCGAACACGTTAACCTGGGATTCGATTCTTGGTGGTCATATCCTAAAGAGGAGCAACACACCACACGAGCTACCCCGCATTGGGTCACTAATATCTATCTTGATGTATGAAATTTTTATTACCCAAAAAAAAAAACACACACACACACACTAGTAATTTAAACCAGCAACATGAAGAGAAATTCCATTTCTGCTCGTGTTGTTGGAAAGTCAATGTCATTGGGCTATCCTCCAAAAGAATAGGATCATTTATATTGTTCCTACAATTGTCTCCTCTAGCATAATTTCCTCACTGTCCCAAAATCACACAATTGTTGTGTACTTTGCCTCTCTCTCATAAGACCCTTTCTCCTCTTCTCTTAGCACACTATATATTCACTGCAAGTAGATACTTGTCCCATATCCTCTGTGTTTCTCTATCTCTATCTTATTTCAGAGACGAGAGTCTTACAAAAGAAAGTTACTGACATTAAAGGCCTTTCACGGAGAAAATGGCAAGCCTAAAGGAAACAGGGAATATTGCAAAATGTCTTGAAGAAAAATTCCCCTCTGTGGATATCAACAAAGAACTAAATCCTGGACAAGATAGAAGTTTTGTAGTGGATCCTATATCATCTAAGATAGCCAGTTCGACGGAGACAAAGGTAAACACATTTTGCTAATTTTGAAGATCTTGTTCATCTCAATGAAAACTTAATCATCGTATATCATTAAAATTCACCAAGGCTGCGTTTGAATCGAGGGATTTGACGAAAGATTTGAAACCTTCATCAAATTCCTCAATCGAAATAAAGAAGTCTAGTTGACAGATAAAAATATCATGGCCGACAACTGGATGTTTTTTTTGCTAAGTAGGATTCAAATATTTTGGTTTGACGTCATATCAATTATCCTGTTGTTTTGCAGTCCAAGGACCAAGGGGAAGGAAACAAGGGAAGTGACAATAGGCCACAGAAGTTTGTGTAGGTTCTCCTTGATTCAGAAGTGCATGGCATTTTGTGTATCCTCCATCCCGTGAAAGATGACAATTTCATACATGACCATTTTTGGGTTACGAGGGACCTAGGTTTAGTGTTCTTGTTTTTTCTCGAGTGTATACATGGTAAGTCATCAGTTCTACTAGGGCAATTTCATAACCTAAAAACTCTTTTGACAAGGGGCACATTTTTTTTTCCCTCTCTTCAAATTGTGTTATTCAATTCCTTGTGTTGTTGTAACAATATATACAGTGTTGATTAATTTGAAAAATATTTTTTTTTTATTTTCTTATGTTTAATTGAGGCCAAATCATACTCACTATGAACCAGATGGTCACTAAGAGGGAATCAAATAACAAGAAGAGGGATAGTTCAATGTAATTTGCATGTGAATCATAATCTACGTTTATTATTTTTTCGTTGCTCATCTAACTAAAACATCCTAAGAAACTTGATTTTTTTTTTCCTTAAGAAACCTGATTACCTGCACGTCTTTATAATCATTTACCTAGTTTTGCATGGTAGCTATGTAAGATTGGTAACAATATCTGCAACTTTTATTGCATTCTTTTTCTTGTGGTTTGACTTTTATATCCTAAATTTTTTGTTGTAACGTATTGGATTGTATACTATTTTACTCACCCCATGCTTATGTATTCCAAACTAAGTTGAAAAAAATGCTATTTTTTTGAAAAGAAAAAAAACCTCATAGATCCAAAACAATACACCTTTTCATCCTCATCCTACAAACCATAAAATAATAAATAAACACTGAATAAACAAAAGTAAGAAAATCAAACTAATTTGCCTCAATAAAAAAGGGGATTGGGGGAGTGAGAGGTCTGTGATTTTGCTAGGTGTGTTATAATCTTAGATGCACTAAAAGATCTAATAAATTCGAAGTAATTTCAGTATTCAAACTTCATTTCTAATAACAAATGGAGTGAAGGGCTAAATTCAAGCCTTTCCATCCCAAATCATTTTTAACAAATAAAGTGGGGAGCTAATTAAATTTACACTTTCATTCTTAAATCCACAATCTGATGCATTAATGTCTCGTAGCATTAGCGTTGGAATTTGTGCAATGGATATAAATTTAGGATGGAGGGATTTGGATTTAACTCCTCCTAACGACACATAGGAGCGTTTTATTAAACAGAAAAAAAATTTGTTAGAAACACTTTGATAAGGGTAGCTAGATCTATGGTTTACCTATTTTGAATATTTTCCTTTTCCAAATAATTCTGAATATACTCGTAGTTGGATTGTTAACAACCCTTCTTCACGACCCCCACAAAAAAAACCCGCCAAACCAAGCAAAGCATATAAAACCAAGGAAAGGATTAGGAAACCCCGCTTTTTCAACTTAATCATATAGCCGCACCCTATAAACCCTACAGGTTCCGTACTATATAAAATCATCACTTTTGGAGTCAGAATCTGAAGATCTTCACCTTGAATCTGCCAGCAGCAGAGACACGAATTAATGGCGAAGAAGAAGCATGCATCAAAGAGGCTCCAAAGAAAGGAGAAAAGAATTGTCAAGTTTAACTTCTACATTCCTCCAGAAGTATGTGAGAATATTCTCGTCAGGGTGGATGTCAAGAATCTCTGCAGATTCAAGTGCGTCTGCCATGGATGGTATGATCTGATCTCCAGCTCTCGTTTCACCAAGAAACAATTTGAGCTATTAAAACCAGACCCCGAGCGAAACCCTGATCGAATATTCATGATCTACCCACATGCCACCATTGATATGAATGCTTGTATTGGCAGCCAAAAATACAACGACGGCAGAAATCTGATGAATAAAAAGGTTCGCTATCCAAAGCCGTCTTCTTTCGGTTCTTTGCGAATCATGGGTTCTTGCGATGGCTTAGTATCCTTGATGAGTGAATACAATAAAAACAAGGTTATATTGATGTGGAATCCTTCCACAAAAGATTTACTTACTTTAGATGTGCCTGAATCTGAATCCGTTGGTTATGGTCATGAGTTTTATTGGTTTGGCCACAATGATTGCAGCAGTAATAATGGTAGTTACAAATTAGTTTTATGCCTTCGCACCACTTTGTATAATCCTATTTATACAATATATGTACTCAACTCAAACTCGAACTCGAACTCGAATTCGAGCAGAAGTTTGTACCACTGGACAAGGACTGCCGAACTGCAACTAATATCACAAATGCCTTATGGACGGAGATTGCATGGATGTAGGGGCACCTTACTAAACGGCATAGTTCATTGGCCATCATATTGCGAGGTGACTGCTTATCATCTATCAGAAGCCACAGTTAGGAGGATAGCAGTGCCCAGTATCAATCATGGTGATGGTCATGGTTGGGATCAATGCTTTACATTGGGGGTTTTTGATGGATGCCTTGGTGCAATTTGTAAGCCGCCTGAGAATAAATTCGAAATATGGATAATGAAAGAATACGGCGTTGGTGAATCATGGACTAAGTATGCGCAAGTAGAATGGTTTACGAAATCCAAATGTTTGAGGCCACTAGGGTTTTTGAAGAATGGAGAGATGATGGTGGATATTGATGGCAGGACTTTGGTGAGGTATAGTAATAATTGGAAGACTGGAAAAGTTGTTATATCTCACAGTCACAGGTCGAATGACTCAGATGCAATCACATACGTCCCAAGTTTTATTTCACCGAAGGAAATTGAATTCAAGTAGCAGGTGCTGGCTGAACAACATAACATAGATCGTGGAGATGGTGTCTTGCAGATATTATCAAGACAAAACAGACCGGGTATATTATCTGATTTTTTTTTTAAATTTTTTTTTGGATTGAATTAATTGGTTTCTATTGGAACTTTTACCTTTTTTGGTCTGAGTTTATATTAAGTTCTCTTTCTAGTTTCCGGAAGCTAGTTATCTAAATGTCTGTCTTTCAATTTTTTTTTTAATCCATCCATGTGTTTTCTTTGTTTGTGATTTAGACCGACACTAAGTTTTCATGTAGGCTATATTTTGGCAAAAGTTTTCATATGCTTTGGTGCATTACAATTGGACACGTCTTAATAGCAAAATGACTTTTCTATGAAAAAATAGTAATTGAGGTTTGTGTTGATGAGCGTCATTTGACAAGTCCTTTAGCAAGATAGAATTAAAAAGATTTATCATTATCTTACGGAGTAACTTTATTTTGCACCTCCATTTTTCTACTTTGCGCCATAAACTTCAATTTCGAACACTTTGCGCTCTAAACTATCAATTTGGATATTTGGCACCCTAAATTCACAAGTTCATCGCATTTAAATTCAATCAATGATAACGTTAGCAAAATTAACGATTTAAAGGATCATACAAATCAATGATCCTTTGCTGAAAGCGATCAAAAGGAGTCAAGGTACCACAATTATAAGAAAATGATACATTATCTTTAATTTGTAATTTTTTTATCTCATTAATTTTACTAACCATATCAGTGATTGTGGAACATACAAATCAATGACAATATATTGAAAGTGGTTAAAAGAAGCCATCGCAAGAACCCATAATTCGCTCATTTAGGACAGCTGAAACCGGCTAAAGTCTAAACCTCAAATTGCTAAAGGCCTAAACAACCCAACTTCTTTATTACCAAAATTAGATTCCATATGGTTCACTACTACTAGAGGTGGCAATTTGTCCCAAGTCCCAATGGGTTATCCATGCCCATGGGGACTTTGGGCGGGATGGGTATTGGATTTTGATATTGGGTTTAAAATGGGACAAATCCCAATTGTACCCATTAATTGATGGGAATACTTGGGAAATACTTGGGTACCTATTGGGCTCAAATAACAAGGGCTCTGTTTGGTTTAGCTATTTTTGGGGGGTATTTTTGAAATATTTTATTATAGCAGTGTATATGAAAAATTTTTACTATAAATTTTTTTTGAAATATTTGATATACTAATATGGATGGGATGTTTTTTGAGTTATTGTATATTACTGTAACATTGTATTTGAAAAACTTATTTTTTGAAAAAATAGCCAATCCAAACGGAGTCTTAGATTAAAAAATTATCTTTAACAATTTTTATAGTCATACTAGAGAATATAATCTAGTAGTTTTCCTAGTCATTATCCACAAGAATTTTCAACATTTCAGTCAATTTAGACCTGTCATCTTTGGACAATGATGAGGATAAATATTCAACACCTTAAGTACCTTGGTCATCTTGATATATGTTGGAATATGACTGTATATCTATTTTTTCCTTTATTTGTTAATCCAATTTTTTATGGGAATCCTGAGTATAAAGCACTTGCATGTTTATTTAATAAAACTAAAAAAAATTTAATAAATCAAAAATATTAAAATTATATAAAAAATAAAAATGAATTAAAGGAAAAAAAATATGTAGAAAATAGATTTGGGTATTGGGCGGGATCAATTTAAACCCATCCCAAAGTGATCCCGCCCAAGTTAGTCCCAAAACACATATGGGTAAGGTTGGGCCCAAACCCATATGACTCGGTTCCATCACAAACCTAAGCAAATCCCGCCCATCCCGCCCATTTTGCCACCTCTAACTACTACCCTTAAAATCATTGACAGAAACAAAAAGATACAAGAATAATGGCCCAATTTATTCTTTTCCATAAAAATTAAGGTGCTGCTACCTCAAACTAAATGGTGTGTGCATTTGTGCGTATGACTACGTATTGTTGTGTGTCTATCTACTTACTAAAGTGTGAGTGTGTTTTGAGTTATATCTAGATCTAAGTACTAAACGTTAGGGGAAAATTATAGAAAAAAGGGGAAGGGGACAGGCCTTACTTGTAATTAAAGGGTTGGTGTCTAAAAAATATATATATATATTTCTATAATAATTGTGTCCATTTTATCATTTGTCCAAAGATGTTCCTCAAGATAAATTAATATGAAGAGCTCAAGGTCAACTTGTCCATATATACTTTATGGTACCCAAATGCAAGTTGCTTACAACAAGATACTGAAATTCTCTTTTCTTTTTTTCTCTTATTTTTTGTAATTTCCTGCTTCAAGAGATGGGAGGTGCTTACAACAAACTATAAGACTAGCACCCGTTGACAAACTACAAAGTTTTGCCCAAACATCTACAATCCCATTTTGTAGATACTAAAATGACAGCTAATATATGGCATACAATTTCGGAATAATGTGGCAGCATCATGCTCTCAAGGTACAGTTGGAATCCTCTATGCCACTACTCGGTGGCAAACTATAAAACCAGCACCCGTTGATAAACTACAAAGTTTAGCCCAAACATCTACAATCCCATTTTGCTGCAAGCTGTTCAAAATGACTAGTGAGTGAGATACTAAAATGACAGAGATCAGAAATCAGTCTAGAATTGTTAAATCATTGCGGAATTATGACACAGATCAGAGAAAATCCCATCAGATTAGTTAGTTGCTGCTGGTTGCCTTATTATTTGCCTTCACCAATAAGTGTACAAAAGCTCGGCCTCTGAGTCTCCTATGGATATATACAATGTATTCTAGTAGGCAAGAAACAGCTAATATATGGTGTACATTTTCGGAATAATATGACGGCATCATGCTCAAGGCAGGCAAATTATAAAATTCCCTCTTCCGAAGGTGGGGCCAATTGGCCATAACATGAATAGGAGTTTACGGCTTAGCGAGATTTCGTGTATTGCCTGCGAATATATATATATACTCTCTCCATCTTTTTATAACTGACGTTTAAGGTTTTGCACACCAATTAAAAAAAGTTTTTCATTGTTTAAATCTGTATACTACTTTCCTTTTGTACCCTCATTAATTGTCCAATTCACCAATGTTTTCTCTCACCAGAGTACTAAATGGTACTGTTTTACTAGGCCAAAAGCAATGCAATAATTACTAGGAGTAGTAATTAAGAACCATGTATTGGAAAAGAGAGATAAAAGGGTAAAATTGTGAAAAAATAATTAATACTGTATGGGGATAATAAAACGACAGATAAAAGTACACTAGAGCAAATTTCTTAAACGTCAGTTATAAAAAAAGGGAGGGAGTATTAGACTTGTTTCAAATATGAGTTTACTTCCATAATTGATTAGTTTTATAATTTAAACGATAATCATGAACTCTAGATATTGGTTTTTAATCATGCCTCTGTGGACAGGATGAGGGAATTCTATCCACTTGCTAAAAAAAGAAGGAATTCTATCCACCTGCATGGAGTTTCTTTCAATATTATGATCCATGATTTACGTTGGGGGTCTTTTGATGGAAGCCTTGTGCAACTTGCAAGCTGACTGGGGACAAATTTCAAACATGGGTGATGAAAGGATCTGTTTGGTTGGAAGTAAAATGTTTTCCTTGGGAAAATATTTTCCGTGGAAGTAATTTTCCATGAAAATCATTTCTCTTTCATCATTTTCAGGTGTTTAGTTAGCTTATTGAAAATATTTTCTTACTTCATTTTTCTGGTGTTTGTTTAACTTTTGAAATATTTTCACTTTTATCTCTATCTTTACTTTCTACACATTATAACTACATACTTCTTCCCATGCAAAATAAGAAAATTTATCTCATTGTTTAACTTTAAAAAATCTTGGAGAAACGTATATATGAATAAAAAATATCTCCTTAAGCAATAAACAAATTCCTGGCCATTTAGTGTCAAATATCAATCACATGCAATGCTTATTGTGACATATATCTTGCACTCTCACTGCTAAAAGTTGCTCTAGAAAAGAATGTCCCTATTATACATAATTAATTATACTAGCATAGGATGAGCAGGATGAGATTTTTTTTTATTTTGAATATACTAGGGGGAGGGTTGGGTTGGGTTAGGTGGTACGGGGGAGGGAGTGTAAGGAAGAGGTCTTGGATTCGAGTCCTCCTGTTTACACTTAAAAAAAAAAAAAAAAACATACAACAAGATGTTTTCAGTAAGTTTGGAACATACTACAGGCGGGATACATGCATTTCGGAAAACAACTTCAGTAACTTTGGAAGGGAAGTTGTTTTCCATAAGATGAGTGAAAATATTTTACATAGGAAAATGTTTTCAGTAACTTTTGTGCAACCAAACACGGGAAATTAGGAAAATATTTTCCTGAAAAACATTTTCAAACAGACCCTAAAATCAGACAAGTGCTAGACATTCAGAACAAAAACTGTATTTCTTCGTAAAATTAAGAGCATGAATCCAATAATTGGGTGAGAATCGGACCCGCCTACGGTAATAATGATTCTTCTGAAGGTAATCCTCCCTTTGCACTAATGATACTTATAATTAAATTTTTCGCCAATATGATAAACTGTTAGCAAAACTTTCTGCTTGTGCAGTTTTTATTGATTTGCAGCCTTAAGCTGATAGTGTTCAAATATAAGTTTTGTGCTTGAACTTTGCAGCGTAAAAACCTATAATCACCGGAAAGAAGTACTATTAAAAATTGTGACCTTTGTCACAATTTTACGATTGAATTTTTTTTTCTTTGGAGGACTTTTCAGTTAATTATTAAGAATACATTGTAATATAGATATTTGAAATAAAGGATTTCACCCCCTATGTCATGTGCAAGAAAATTTTCCCTCAACGTACTTACTAGTAGCTTTAATTGAAGAAAATTGAACTTCGATGCTGTTATCGTCCTTGCTCTGGTTTACTTTAGGCGCCGTGTTTATTTTAAGTTGAATGATGGAATAATTATTTTAAGTTGAATAAGAGATTAATTATCTTT